ATTCTATCTTGCATATCTTTGGCATATCTTCTGACATTCTTTCTGGCGTTCCATCTGGCATATCTTCTGACTCGCGGTTGAGGTCCGGCGGGGAACACTGCCATCCTGCAGTTGAGGTCCGGCGGGGATCACTGCCAGCCGGAGCTCGCGGATGGGATCCGGCGGGGAAGGCTGCCATCCTGCACTTGCGGTTGAAGTCCGGCGGGGAACACTGCCATCCAGCTGGCGGTTGAGGTCCGGCGGGGAACACTGCTATCCGACACTTGCCGTTCAGCAGGCGGAGGAGGACGAGGAGGAGGAGGAGGAGGAGAGGGCGGAGGAGGAAGAGGAGGAGGAGGAGGAGCAACGCAGCTGACATAAAATCTAACAACCCTCAACTGACAGGCGGGGAACAAACATCAATAAGTGGATTTAGCCAGGGGAAAGTAGAAATCAACCTAGGCATCAACTTTCCAAACAGATTTGTTGGGCCAGCTGGGCGCCCATTTGGATTGATCACACTCGAGTGTTGAAAAGAACAGTGGTGAACTCCACTCTCCATGTGATGTGTTCGTCGGAGTCTTAGAACTTCTGTGAGGATCATTACTTGGAGGTTTTTTTGGTTGGAAGACCCACTATTCACAACCTGACCCACTTACACAACAAGTTAGCAACTTCACTATTTGGGGTCAGCACTTACTAACCCATGTGATCCTGCAAGTACCAAAAGATTCGAAAGGCCGGCTTTCCCAAGTCTCACGTCGATCTCTCAGCGAGCTTCAAACCAGAACCCGTCGTTCCAACAGGGTGGTCCAATTCAATCCCGCCCAGGTCGACTTGTTAAACATCCGTCGCAATCCTGGAAATTAATCCTGGAAATGAATTGAAGTGAAGAGGGAAAACGCCCAAATCCTGGAATGACTGGAATCATGGAACGATTTGGTGAATGTCTGGAATCCTGGAATGACTTTGACATCGTTCGTGTGTGCTTCTTTATTTTTTGCGCCCAAAACGCCCAAGACGCAACACAAAAGGTCCCCGTTTTGGCCAGCCGTCCTACGAAAACAACACCACCAAGTCTCGCACGCCACTTGCACTCGACCGACCAGTATGTCGAGAAAGGTGGTCCAATCGTTCCGAATTAAAATCTATAGTTCAAATTCTACTCAGACGCTCATTGACCCTCAAACTGCTACATGTTTGAGGTCCAAAACCCTAGTTGGGAGGGTGAAAACCCTAGCTACGAGGAGGCTACTTACTTGTAAGTGTACTTATAAGTTGCTTATACTAAAGTCCGCTAAGTGCAAATTAGCCTACTTACAACACGTTTGTAAAAGCATACTATACTTTTCATGTGTCCACGCCACATGTTGGAAAACAACGTTTTTTGTCGCAGACTTGCACCCTGCATGTCTAAAACAGGCGTGTGACTTAATGACTTATTAACCGTATCCTTGTATCCTTCAACAAGTTGATACGCCAACTGTGCCTAACTTCTCGTTTTCACAAGACATTTTCATATCTAGACATATTTTATATAGGTTTAAATAAATATCCTTTACTTGCAAGTTTACGTACGTGCACATGTGTATATATATATATATACACGTTCTTGCGTATATGAAAATGTGCACGCAACTTTTTGGCCACACCAACGTCTTGTTAGGGCAGCATTCCAGCTCCGCAGCAAGCGTTCAGCCGCGCCAGCGGAGAATTCTGGCGACCCACGCTCTCGCGCAGGTCACAAAATTGCACACCGCAGGTTTGACTTGCACACTCCATGGTCTAGCTGACCCAGGCGGGCCGCCCGCCCCGAACAGGCCCACAAGCATGTCCGCCGCAAGATCGAGTCCGAACCCCGATTCCCGCAACCAACGGGGAGCGCACAGCTGCAAGGCTTGGAAATAGATACTTTGTCGCCGGGATCGCACAGATCTTTGGCAGAGCGGCCCATGTGAACTAAAAACTGTTCAAAGTAAGCCTGGCAGTCCTGTGCCCGGTACGGTACAGCTCCAACAATCGCAGCACCGTCGTCCGCAACTGTTCTCGCCACTCCGGAGTCGAGTGGAATCCGCTGGCGTTGCAGCTGCTGCAACAGCACCGTTCGGTGTCTTGACTCGGCTAAAACCCATAGTCTGCGTCAGAACTCAAGGGCTCGTTGGACACTTAGTGCACACGGCCGTCCTGGTCCACCACCCTGTCCGTCGGCATTTGCGGCCAATCACTCACCCATGCCTGCACTGCCTTTTCCTCGGCTGCCTGTTTCTGCGCCCGGCGTTCGTCCTCGGTAGCAGCTTTGACTATCATGCTTTTAGATACGTCTCGCTGGTACCTGACGGCGGTCCGGTATTGCGGCAGCATCTATTGGAAGGGCATCGAGGCCGCCTGCTCTACCCAGCGCTCCAGGCATTCAAAGGGCTGTGCTCTTATCTCCTTGCGGTCCGTACCCTTCCGCAGAATGCGGGGTCGGGTATAGACGGAGAGGTCATGAGCACGCTGCAAGGCAGTGACTGCATTCGTTATAAGCCCGTCGCAAGACTTGTCTTGGCGCATATGCCGCTGGCATCGGGTTCTCAACTTGCCCTGCGCACAATCTTGCAGCAAGCTCCCTGTTGGCCTTGAACAAGCCGTAGTAGAGCCTTGCCAATGAAATTGCAACTCTCAGCTGGCCTCTGTCAATGCGCCCAAGAAAGGAGCCATCCGAAGAGGGATCCACTAGGGCCATGTGGAGGGCAAGCACGACGCCGCCTTCCTGAAGGGGTGCCGCGAGTGCCTCGAGGCGCCGCTTGGCCGAAAGCTCCGCAATACCATGTGGCCAAGGACTCCAAGGGATCCCCAAGAAGTCCAAGACCGACACGACAACCACAGGGCCGTTCACACGGCGGGGTCACAAACCCCTGCTGTCAAGACTGCCGGCTATTGCCTGGGAAGCCTGAATGATGTGGGATTATTTAGTAGCCCCCCCTCTCCTCTCAAACCCCCTCAGGAATAATTTAGAAGTTATTCTGACTACCCTCGACATGGCTTTCTGAAAATTATTCCGGGAGTGCTTTAGTTGCCACAGAACCCCCTGCGAGGCCGCATGTGATCAGGTGTTACCTTTACATATCTCTTCAGTCTCTCTCTCTCTCTCTCTCTCTTGCAAGGTGAAGTCAGCTCAGCATGTTCCCCGGGGAGCATAGTGAGTTCAACGGGGCAGACACAGGAGCCATGATCCCCGGAAGAGCCGGTCGTGGCTCAAGCCGGTCTCTCTGATGCCCTCCTCAATCTACATCATTCTACCTAGTGCTATTCATCTGCTATGTTTTCACTGTGCTCCTTTTGCATTCCCCTGCTAAAAGAGCTTCGAGGCAGCGTCGACCAATCATGACCAATCAATGTTTTCTGACAATTCACATCAATTCATTGTATACATATACCTCTAGTTATAGGTTTTGTTGAAACTTATTCCAAGGGACCCTTGACCTACCCCTGCCTAAGTTTATTATTCCAAGAACTTATTCTGAAAAAAATATTCCATGAACCCACAGGACCCCTGGAAAAATTAGACAAATAATGCAACAGTCTTAATGATTGGGTTTTCTTGAGATCCTTTGAAAAACTAGCAGGTGGTTGGGAACTAGGCCCTACAAGCCCAAAGACACTTTAAAATCACCTGGCCCAACTGACCTCCTTGACCTTCTCCAGTATTTCATGGATTACTGCGTGCGACGCCGGTGCGACTCTCGACGAACTCGACGAACTCGACCGCCAAGTGGCCGAAGTCAGGATCGCTTGCATCAAACCTGGGAGTGCTTAGGGTTTAGGGTCGCTTCCAGGGGCCCCACATGGCCCATCCCAAGCCTGGGTTTGTCCCTTCGCCAAAAACTGTTTTTTTTGGAGGGCCCAAGGGGGCCCCTGGTTGGTGGTAAACTGGTTCAACTCACGAAACATATACAGTATGAGTGAGTACCAGGAGTCACATGGAGTTGGGTCAGTTTCGTCCCATCCGGGGGCCTGTGGAGGTGACTACCTTGGAATTTCCAGCCCGGAACAAAGTAAAACACAATGACATGTACCCTGCGCATCTAAACCCTTTGAAATTTGTCGGTTTTGGAGTCAGAACTGAGTTGTTTTGTGCATGGTCAGAAGTCAAACCTACCCTAAGACTCCTTGGACTGTCCAGGTCCATTGCAGGGCTCGGACCTTCTCCCTCTTGGCGGGGGTCTGGGGCCTGAAAAAGGCTATCTGTTGGTTTCGAGCGCGGATTCTTAGCTGACTGGTGCTTAGAGCCGCAGGCCGCACCATCTGGGCCCACCAAGTCGGCTCAAACGACGTTGAGCACTCCAGAGGGCTCTCGATCCGTGCCCATCCCACATGTACCATGAACAGCAGCATCCGACTTGCTCGACCGGCGCGACCCATCCCAAACGCGACCGCCTAAACTGGAACTGCCATATGCCTACATTGACCCCCCCAAAACCACCCAAACTCATCAGCATATATGGCATACATGGAGTGTCTGGGTGAATCCATACAAACAGGGCTTGGTTCATTGAACAGGGTATTTCCAGCCGTATGAGGCCCGAGGGCGCCCCCGAACGACGGAGGAGACCTGGGAGGATGTTATATAGGGTCTCAGTTCAGGCCTCAACCTCTCTTGCCCTATATGGATCCACATTACCGAACCTGAGGCACGGTGAAGAAAGGGCCCAGTCATACCTTCTAAACAGGTATGTGGATCCATAGGGTTGGTCGTCTTTGCAGGATGTGGCCGGTCGAGGCCTGGAGATTCTCATGCTTGTATAGCCGACCGCAGCGGGTGATCAACTGACCGCCTCCGCGATTGCAGTTCGACCTTCGGGGCCTTCGGGTGTGGGTCAACTAGAACCTGTTACTGGATGTGTCCAGGGTCCCCAACCAGTTGCTAAAGGATCTCCAGAAAGCCCTTGTTGGGTTCCAACTATTTGGATGTCTATAGCTTCACTGACCACCGAATGGGTTGGGTACAGACACCGTTGATGAATGAGGAATTGATGAACCATCATGGAAGTGGATGGCAGCATCTGTGTACTAGAGGAATACATGGTCTTCCTTCCGGGGGCCCCTTGATCACCCACGTTGGCCCCATGATTCCGTGAACTTTGTCCCTCCGTTCCCGTGATTCAGGACCTCGGCCCAAAAACTGTAGACTCCGTTTTTGCTTCTTAAAACAAATATGTTCCCCAAGACCACTGTAAATCCCATCTATACACTCCCGGATCCACATACTAGGAGGTACTTGGATCCGGACTGTCATTCAATACGCCAGCCGCCAGCTATTTGGTTGTGAAAAACGATTGGCTCAGCCGAGCTCACCGGCCCTTTCCTTGCTCGGAAATGCTGCCAAACGACTCACCGCCGAGCCCGAGTGCATGGCGTTGCCGATGCCCGTCTTCGAGGCCTGGCAGAGGAGCTGACAGGGATGGAGAGGTCCACGGGTAGGACCTCCTCAGTCCTGATTTGTTTCCCAAACAAAGAGATTCAAACAATTTCAAACATGATGTCGTAGGTACCTTAGTAATCCTTGGTACCTAAGAGAGTATTACAATGTATAGTGCGATGACTCCCTGCCCTTTCATTGTTTGGACAATACACTAGTATTTATAATATCTAGTTTATAGTTTCCTTCTGCTTCTAGGTTGGAGGCCATCACTACTACTAAGGTAGAGGCCATCGCTACTAGGTTGGAGGCCATTCCGACTATAGATTCCTTTTGACAATCATATCCCGGTGTCCCTACTTGCTGGTCTTTGGGTCTGGGACATGAGGATTGAGGTGAAAAAGCTGCAGGATTGACCCTTTCAAACATGCGAAGCATGGCGTTCTCCCTCTGCCCGTTGATAGGTTTACTTTCGGACCGTTGAAGGCACGACCATGGGCACTTTCTAGCCTTCCGTTCGACCATGAAAACATGTTGCTTCACGTGCTGTTGTAGTCTAACATTTTACAGGGGCCCTCAAAACCAGTAAAAACAAAGGTTTTCACACACACAAACCATGTCTTTTTGCTTTAAACAAAAAGGTCTTGGATGGGCCATGTGGGGCCCCGGGCTTACAGTATACAGCTTGGTTGTTCTGGATTGGACCCACAAAATCAGTTTGAATCCTAGGGCACTGTGGACACAGCCGCCGTGCATGCGCCGTCGACCGGTTCTGCCGGCTCTGTCGTTTCAATCGGAAGCGACACCGCACCCGCAGCAAAAGGGGAGCATCGTCGTCATCGGCTAATCGCAAGACCTCAAGCTCAAGGATCGGACATCCAGGGCTAATATGGTTGGTCCATGTGGTTTCAACGAAAACCAAAAAGGGCATCACTAATTCAAAGGTTGAAACTAGAAATATTTCCCAAAGGCTCATTGGACCCTCATAGCTAGGGTTTTGACCCTCACAACTACGGTTTTGGACCTCAAACATGTAGCAGTTTGAGGGTCCATGGCGCTGTTTGGGTCTCAACTTGCTCATATTTGGCCGCATTATTTGCAGTTGTGTTTCCGCACTGAACGAAAACATACAATAGGCTACTAGGCAGCTGATACGGCTGATACCCTGAGAAAACGGATTTTAGATCTAGCCTAGATCCTTGAGACCCTGATCTGTCATAAATGCCTACAATCTTAAAACAAATAGACAAAAAATCATTCAACAAAGAACGCACTTCGATAGAGAGTTCATCCGAGTGGTATTCCAAGAATGCAAGGCACTTGACTTGATGGAACCGTATGGTGAAGAGTCGGCAACAGGTATTGTTTCAAAAACTGATCGGGCGGCTGCGGGCAAGCGGTGTGACGAGGAAGCGCTTCAGCGGCTGTTGTGGAAGGGAACATGAACCACCGTGGAAGCAAAAACACAGCGGAATGGTGGACCAGTGGAGTGAAAGTGTTCGTCGGCAGGTACAGGATCGAGCGTCCTCGATCCCTTCCCATCTGTGATCATAGCTTCGTTGCGTGCAGTAGATCACGGATGGTGCACGCCCTTGTTAGAAACGAGTGGGACCCTTTGGGACACACACAGAGCGCCGCATTGCGGCGCGCACTTACAAAAGACATTTTCCGCTCTCCGTCGGCAGGCAGCTGCCGGGTGCCCCTTGGCCACGTAGAGGTCGATGGGGTGGTGGATGGCTGTGGTTGCTGTGGATCGAGGGTATAGGTGTATTGCGAATGGTATGGGTTCTGGATGCTAGGCCGGAAAGGCACAACGCTTGCTGCCGGCAGAGGTAGCACCCGGATTTTCCATCGCTGGGAAGGTTCGATGTAGGTGATGGTGCGGGAGGTTAGGTCGATGTTGAACCCGAGAAGGTGGTAGTCGTCAACGGGTTCTAGCTCCGCGGGGTCCCCGAAGAAATCCGGGTGGATGAGGGTTTGGATGGCGGGGTGATGTAGAACGTGTTCGTTGTGGGTGATGAAACGGTTGTCCACCACGTAGCGGTAGTAATTGAAATGGAGGTGAGTATGGTTGAGGAGGTTGTTGTGTAGTTGGTGCCAAGCATTGCTCAATAAGTGTGACGGCGACGTTACGAAGGGCCTGTGACAGTTGGGATCCAATCCCAGCTCCACGTATTTGATTGTATGTGTGGCTGCAGGCCCGGAAAATGCAGGTGTCCAGAGCGAAGGACACAATGGTTGTGATGTCAATACTGTGGAGGGTGCGTTGCGTGGGGTGGCGGTGATGCCGTCCCATGTGAGAGTGGTGAAAAGGATTGCCTGTGGCTCTGAAGTCCAAAGTGAGGGCTTCAGTTGGATGTTGTTGTCGCCAGTGGTTGACCAGGCTGTAGACCGCATCAATCAGGCGGTGTTGTGGTACTGAGTTGAAAAAGCCGACTAGGTCGTCATCTGGCATATAGGGTGATGTCAGGTGGAAGGTTGGCAATGTATTGATGGAGGTGGTTCCAGAGCTGTGGTATGGAAAGTTGGCCAGGATGTTGGGGGTAGAGGTGTTGAAGCATGGCGTCGAGAGCTCGACTGGTGACTCGCAAAAGATTGCCTGCCAGGGAGTGGTAATGGGATATGATGGTGCGCCCCTTATGCCACTCTTTGAGGTGGACAATTCTGTACGGGATGGTGAAAGCTTTGTGGAAGCGCCACTTGTATCGGGTGCGCAAGGTGGCTGGTATGGTTGCTAAGAGGTGTTCTGAGAGATTGTTTGGAGTTAGGTGTGGCATAGGTTTGAAGAGCTCTGGTGACTGCCAGGTAGCCAGGGCGCCGTGGAAGTATTGTTGAAGTTGGTGGAGTTCATGGTCTGCGTGGTGTAGGACCACGTGGTCGCCCAGGTATTCTTGCAGTTGGGGGAGCTCTGTTTGGGCTTCGTTGTGAATGGTGAGAGGTTGGCTGACGGGAAGACGGCAAAGAATGGCTGTGGGCTGCGCTGCAGCGGGTTGGGTGGGTGCTCGGCCTTAGCCCTTTGGCAGGCGTGGGTGGCTGCCCGGTGGCAGGCACACACACTTGAGCGACGTCAAGAACTGTGGTGCGCTGTGGAAGCCGGACTTGCAGTGAATGACCACCGGGTGATGGCATCCGATTGCCCGCCACACTGTACGGTGAGCCAACATGAGCCTCGCCGGCACACAAATACGTTTCACGATGTAGCATCCACCACTATCTCCAACTTCTGCTCACAGGTGCCACAGTTTCAGGTGCTCAGCTGCAGTAGACCAGTCACTCCATCCACTTGTCCACCAGTCACTTGATGCCACAGCTCTTCGTGGCGCCACCTCTCCCAACCATTACTCATCATCTTGCCTTTCCAGGCTGGTAGCCAGGCCAGCCAGTTGTTCTTCCAAAGGAGGAAGAAGCCATGCCACTGGAAACAGCTCTTCGTGCCAACAGGCTTGCAAAACAGTGGACAGGCCCAGTCAAAGGTGATATACACCAGCGAACCACTTCGGTTCCTACGTCCAACCATCGGACCCGAATCCTCGGGCTTGAAGTATAGGACGACCGACCGACCGCGCCAGGCGGTCTGACAACCAGAAAAAATGCACACCCATGTAAGAGACCAGTCTGGAGTCGGTCTGCACTCAGCCTTTCCCGTTAGTTTCCGGGGCAATCTTAAACACGACGGACTCCCTCCCTTTTCTTCATGGGGACTATCGATACTTTCGGCTTCGAATCACTCCCTCCTGAGCAAAAAGTAGATCATGCTACATGGCGTGTCCATGATGGTCACACAAATCCCTATACAGGAGCAGCACTGGATCAATGCAGCTTCGGACTTATATATATATATTAGGGGGTATATAAGATCACAAGGTTGTGGGATATACCATGGTCTACCTTATATATTATACTGTATCATGGTATATGTAAATCCACAATAATCCATACACATGGCTGCATCTGGAGGCTGCAGCTGTATACAAGGAGCAACACGCGCGTGGTGCGCCAAGAGCGCGCCGGGCGCCCGGGCACGGCACAGGGAGTTCACCTGAGCGGCACGGGCAAAAAGATGGGACAAGAACCAACTGCTGGAACGAAGTTCCAACCTTTCGTCCAAAGTGAAGGGATGTGGTTTATCTATGTTTATCTACCTGGATCATCCTAGACCTGGGTGTCCCGTGTTCGATCCTGGATCGTAGGCTGGGGGGCGTCCAGCCCACAGAAAGTCCGTCTGGGATGCTTTAGGGGTCCATCCTTCGGCAAGTCGCTGGACTGGGCCAGTTGTAATCTCTTCAAAAGGAGATTCAGATTTTGGATCGAGCCAAGCAAGAAGGAACTGCCAGTTGAGCACGCACGAGGTGTTCATTGGATTTAGTAATTTAGGCCATCATGAGTGTTTCTTGGGATTGTGAAGGGGAGGTTCCAAACCACCACAGAGTATGAACATGCCCAGCACCTAATAAAATACTCGTGCGTAATTATAAAAAACACACAACATGTGAAAAAATCAGGACAATTCACAACCTCTTCACGCCTGGGGGTTGAACAATCATCAACAGTCTACATTAGAACTGAGATGAACTGAATCAATCGGCGATGGCAAAAAATGGATCTGTTGGTGCAATACCTTTTGGCGGTGAATGTCAAATGCATTCCAGAGATCGAAATGAATAATGCAAACGGGATTTCGTTTACACTTGGCATTTCTACCATAATATATTTATACATTTAATATATCATATATGATCTACTCTTCACAGGAACTGTTGATTTTACTTCTCGAAAATGAACAAATCAGCCAGGTTCTAGTAAGGATGTCTAAATACACTAATCTGAGTGTGAGGGGCCTAGACACAAACTGTGGATGATAACTGTCCGCAAATTCCCTGCCAGAAAATAGGCCTGATAGAACACCATCATGTTCTCCATCATGGACCTCTGACTAGATCATGTCGTTCAATTGATAGACTAGCAAAGGGTTGGGGATTTCCCAGCTCCGAACGGCTCCCTGTTTAGGAATTTGGATATATAACTCCAGTAACCCGCACCGTCGCTCCCTTGCAACACTAGCTAGTTGATTGATAAGATCCTTCACTGTATGCTCTATTGGATCTCTATGCTGCTGAGTAACACTAGCTCCTTCTGTATCCTTCACTGATTGATAAGATCCTTCACGTGCTAGTACTAGCACGTTCTACTCTGTCGCCAAACACCTTTTTCACAAAAAGAGCAGAACGTGCTCCTTCCACCGTACCGCATGCTCCGACACCGCATGCTCCTACCACCAAAGCCCCACATAGATGGAATCCTAAATCCGTTCTTTGTACGTTTTGAACATGGAAGTGAATTGCATGGTCCCTTGGAAGGTTAAGTGTTCATCTAAAAACAGGGGGTTGCCATCCACTTGGAATCTCAAACAAAGTTCCTCGCCTGTTATTGTCCCCAAGGTCATGTCCCCTGTTCTAATGTATGAACGAAATCACCAGCCATCACTTCCTGGGTTTTCTGAGTGCCATCCCGCGGTGTAGGTGTCTGGTGGCGGTCGACCCAAAGCCACCGGTCTGGCCTCCACAGGGTCCGCCAAGGTATTGGCGATGCCATACATCTCGCAGGCGTCGATGTCCACGCCTCCACACCGAAGCTGGCCCCAACGGCTCGGACCGAACGGCCCCGAACTGGGACCGGACCCAACTCTAGACCTATACTTCTAGACCTCGAAAAACCGATCGTTTTGGGATCTGATGACCTCAGAAGACCTCTGCGTCCCTAGACCTCCGCGTCCCTAGAGGTCTCCTACCTTTTCTGGGCCTCTAGACCAGCGCTACTCCCTAGACCTCTAGACCTCTCAAGCTCTAGACCTTCAGACCTGGTTTCTACCCCTGAGCTAGATCTGACCTCGACCTCTAGATCTCTACGCCACAAGACCTCTAGAACTCAGCTCTCAAGACCTCTAGATCGTTTTAATCTCCAGACCTTTTAAGCTCTAGAATCTCTAGACCTTGAGCACTTGGTTTTCTAGGCCACTAAATGTAGTCAAGGCAAGGCCTCTCTGTTTCTACACCTCTGGACTGTAGACCTCTAGACTCTATAGACACACTGTTTGGATCTGTTTGGGGTCTCTTGCGGGATATTTATGCGGGGAAAGAACGTGAATCCGCAAGGTTACACTCTGACTCACTGGAAATGGATGACAGGCCCCTCATGTGGACCAGTATTCGAAACAGTTGGTGGTCCACTTCCATGTCAGTGAGTCAAAGGGTAGAAGTTCTCCACTGTTCCTGGGTAGGAAAACGGTCTCGCTGCTTTTCTCGTGTTTTCGCTCTCGGTGCGCTGCTTTTTGGGAAGATGCCAACGTGGAGGAAGACATGGATGGAATGATGATGGGTCAAAAAAAGGGGACTCTGGATGACCTGAACATGAACCGACTCCTCTAAGGGAGGTCAGCCTACCGTGGTTTGGTGGGGAAGGTTTTGACTCACAGTGGGTGGGTGAGGGTCATGTTTGGCTGGTGCTACAATCTCATATTCCATGACTATGCAGCCTGTGCCTTTCGAATGCAAGCCCTCCAGTATACAGGTGTACGGTAGGCTGCATCAGTCTAGTTAGCTTGATTGGATTGAGTAGGGAGTGTGCTGTTGGCAAACATTGCATAAGCCTGATAAAAGGGGTCCTAGATGGTCCTAGTCTCCTTCATTCAGAATCAGAACCATTCAGAACCTTGCATTATGTGGCTTGCTACATGCTGTATCATGCTGATATTGATAGATCCTCATCTATAATAGATCCTCATCTGCAGTAAGTCTCAACTAGTCCCACACCAATCAATCACACCGAAGAACCTTGAAAAAGCTTTCCAGGCTTAAGCCTGGCTCTTTCTTGGATTCGCTGAAGAGCTGTGGAGCTGGGAAACAATATAACTTATAACATATTCCCCATGCCAGGAGACTGACCCAGTCCGGGAATTAAACAGCTCTGTCGGGCCAACATGTCATATTGGGACTGCCCACATGCTCCAAATAGCCCGATGCAGTCCCTCAAAGCCTAGAAACCCCAGTCCCCAACATATGAGGGTCCGATCCCTCCAATGTGAGCGTCTGGGTGCTACCTCATATCAGTCAAATACCCTCAGGATATACACACACAACATGTCATGCTACGTATTTCATGAGCTGGACAACTGGATAGAGATGAAGCGAAAACGCTACCCCTCCTCTCGTCTCGTGGGCTTCTTTCATGTTGGTGAACTTGGGATGCCCGGGCCCCAATAAACCCAATCAGCTTGGGATGCCCGCTGCCGACCCTCAAGATCATGGGGATCCATACTAGAAACGACTAGAGCAATGCGAGGTCAGCTCTGGACAGTGGACACTGAAACTAAATTGACCTTCCTCTGGAACGTCAGTGATGAACTAGAGTTCCTCGCCCGCACGAACCCGCCCCACCTGTGAGCCCGGCAGCATAAACGGCCTTGGCGCAGAGCATTGCGACTCGAGCATCCAAACATCGCAGCCGTGGTACATGTACCACCCCAGGCCCGATGCCCTCCATGGCACCGCAGGGGTCGGACCGGACCTCCACCGTTTCATGCAGGGGTCCGGACCAAACCCTGTGTATTTGAGGGCTTGGATTCTTAGGGCAGTACCCTTCATGGAGACTGCGGACTGCCGATCAGGCCAGGGATGGTTGGTTATAGATCCGCCGACTTCAGCCGATGGTGGGGGAGTGCGCCAAAGAATACTTATCCAACATAGCAAATAAAACACACAGTAATTATGTTACATAGAAATTGTGTATTCGAGGCTCATGGGGTGTGTGGGTGCCAGTACCAGACTCTACAGCTCACCACCTTCCACTTTTGAAGTCACCATTTCAGCCAGGATCCATTTCGGAGACCCGTAGTTCGAGTCCGGTGATGGTAGACGATCTAGGTGCCACAATGACTCTCCTGCCCAATCCTTTCCTTGTCACATCCCTTTTGGGGGTCCAATAAAGGATGACTCTTTGCCAGCACCTTCAAGTCGTGACCAGGACATTTGGAGTCTCAGTCTATGACCTTTTACAGCCCTAACTATGTGACCTCATCCTGAGATCTCAAGGATCCCGGTCCTGGTGGTCTTTTCATGTCTTTTCATGGAGCCCGAAAGCTCGCGAGGAAGTACCCTGGAAGTGGACAATGGCCCCTTGAAAGATGCTCTTCAAGAGGGGTTTGTCCACTTCCATCAGGAGAGTCAGCAGCAATTTGAGGCACCGAAGCCCGCGGAATTCCAAATTCAATCCCCGGTAGATGAAGGCGAAGCGCCCAGCAAAAGAACCAAAACGTGAATACGTGGTGCTCCCAAAAAACAACGGTCGCCATTTCCAAGCACCATGAGGGGTGGTGATTAGAAGATCCCAAACACTCCCATGGACAGGCATATTTGCCGATCAGGCCAGTGGCGGCTTCTGATGTCAATGGGGCGGCACATCCTCTCCCAGGGAGTGTGTGTGGGTATAATCAAAGGATGTAAAGGATGTAAAGGGGGCAGGGGGGTGTCCATAAACCACCCTTTCGGTACCAAAGTAGAACCTGAACAAACACTGGTACTTGAACTTGTACTATCTGGTACTATCCTAGTACCTTAAGACTCCAACTCTAAACCACCCTTCCCATGGTCACTGCGCGTCCAACGCGCACGGCTTTACCACCACCGGTGGCTTCCGCGTCGCTCCGTGGCGTCCGGGCCGTGCTGATCACCTCCTGCTCCGTGGGGCCATGCGGCGCTGCCAGCGAGGCATTGAAGCCTGAAGCGAGTTGACGGACGAGCCGGCCGTGCTGAGCAGGGAATGAAGGAATGAGTTTAGAAAGCTAGTTATAACATCGGCTAATCACATGGTACATGGCATATCCTGGGCATGCGAACTCCCAAAACAGCCCAAAACAACACTATAACGATCGACTTATAAGACGAAGTCCATTCGAGTTTCCCCCAAACCACACAGATGGCAGGTCGGCCCCCCCGGCTCCTCTCTGCTCCACTCGCACGAACGACGGCGCAACCGCTGTCGGCGCTGAAGGAGCGACGGTGCCTGTGTGGCGCACCGCTGAACCGCACAGCGACGCCAAATAAGGCTCGCTCTCTTTCACCTGCGCTGCGGCGCGCGACCGCCGCCGCTGCGGCGCTGCGGCAGCGACCGTGGTGAGGCTTTTTCGACCGAGTCGCTTTTTTGGTTTAAGAATCCGGGACAGAAAGCAATACAGTTTGGGTTTGGGAACCGGGTCCAAAGCCTGTCTTGCGTTTGGAGTGGTGGAGGTCCGGGCCCATCCGGATTTTGAGTTGCATTTTGGCTGGAAACTCCCGGACTGCAGTTTTTGCGGTGATTTCTTCCTTTCCCGGACTGGTTTTGCATGAATGTTCCAATTCATCCAGATTCTTGGTTGTTTTTGTTGAGGCCCCTGCCGCAAAACCCTGAAAATATCATGAAATTGGGGCATGTCAGGGCATGTCCTTCACCCAATACTAAGGAATCAAGAAAACATGGGGAGAGGTCTTGAAGCCAATATTCAGTCAATTCTCCACTGCCATATACTCAGCTAAATGGCAGGTCGGTCCCTCTGTGTAGCTGGGTCTCTTGTCTTTCCTCACTAGCAGGACAAAACATGACAAACCCCATCAGGTCGATAGGTTCGTCATCTAAAAAAAGAAGAGCAACTTGGAATGTCGGACAACGTCGACATAAAAGCCACCATGATCACATCATCCATGACGATGGGCAACCAATCCAAACAACAGTGACAATGTCACAAGTGATCCAAACAAAATGCTTGGGATTTGCTTAAGGAACTAGAAAAAAATAGAACTGGAAAAAATAGAACATATTCTCCAGAAGGGGAAATAACAAATCACCTTGAGCAAAACAAGATGCTTGCTCTGCGATGGAGTTGGGTCGGAACCAAAACAGTCATGTCCTTTTGGGGAATAGAGGGCTTGATGCCAGGTACGTAAAATAGACTTATATATTGGTGGTGAAGCGACCGGACCATATTCTCTTCCCTCTATCAACCCCTGGGATTCCATGGTCCTGGTGTTTCATGGTCTTTGAAGAAACCTTGGTCCATACCCGACGGATTTGTCCACCAGCTCCACCGTCCACCGATTCGGTCTTCGGCGCTTGATCGATCGGGCCATGTTCCGGATCAGGGTTGCGGCACAGCGGCACTAAAGAGACCACACATGTGGCTATAAAGAACGGAAACAAAAAACAACTATTTGTTGGTTAAACAAAAATATTTTTTGTTTTAAACATGGTTTTAGTATATACCATGCTGAGTTTAAAACCATGTTGAAAGACCTATTTGGTTGGTTTCGGGCCCGGAATCCTATAGAGTTCTATAGGCTATAGGGTACATACCAAATTACCAATACCAAATCTTCCCACGCCTTGGGGATGTACAACAAATATGAACATCTACGAAAATGAGGACAATCCAAACCTAGCTCTCCAGTCGTAACTCTTCAGGTTCGGTATGACTGGACCCTGCTGGCACCGGGCAAATCCACTGATCCGGAAAAGCCCTGTCGCCTGCAGTTGCCCATCCACCTGGTCTGAGAGCCTCGGGTTCTCCCGGCCGCGAAACTCGCTCTGCCGGAAGTTTCGCTCTTTTGCGCATTCGGGATCCAGTATGATCTCAGGTTCGGTGATGTGTTCCAGTTCGAGTACTGCCGGTGGCATTCGGGTCCAGTCGTGACGTCGTACCGAGCTCAGTGCGAAGAGACGGATCCCTGTCGGCCGTTCGGAGCCACTCCCAGCGACGGTCTGCCCTCGACGGTGGACGCGCGCTGTGGACGACGCGGAAGACCAGGACGTCCCAAGTCAACATCGGTGTCCTCCGATGTGTTCCGATGTGTTCCCTTCGTTCGGTCATCGAGTGCGGTCGTCACCGTAGTTAGGCTGTAACCTATATTAGGTATTAAAATTACAAAATATCACAAACATTTAGAGACTCTTTAAAAGAGGTCACGAACTTAAGATTTTGGGGATGGATTTGAAATGCCTGGAAGGTTTTCGTGGCCGACCTCGATCTCATGGAGCACCTCGGAACACGTCCGTTCTTTAGCCGAAGCCGCGTCTTCACCACCACGTTCACCGCGGCATCGCCATGTACCCATCCTAGGTGCATGGGGTGGGCACGGATTGGTTCGCCACAGCCAACCTATCTCTCCCTGGCCTTCAGTTCTACCATTCTACCATTAAAAGAAAGGTTGACCTGATGTAACCAGTGGTGTAGTCGAAAAGCCTGAGTAAAACCATGGCCGTTTCACTGATTAAGTCAATGGTGCTTCGAATTCTAGAGTGAATCCTTCTCAACGTATAAGAATCATGTGTTTATTAGCTAAGTCCCTGTAACTCCGAACGGTTCCCAGTTAAAAGGAGAATATGGATACCCGCAGTCCTAGCTCCTTAGCTCTCACAAGGCACAAATCAAAGATATGAGACGTGTATGAGATGTGTGTTTTCTTCTGGAAAATCATGTCTTGACTTGTTTGATCTTGAGGTGTCTGCGACGTAGTGGGTGTCTGGTTGCATCTTCGGGCATTATGAGAAAGTTGACCTTCTGAAAAAACAACCAAGTATATAGATCTATTCTCTCCATCCCCAAACTGGTGAGGTCTCCACTCTCTAGCACTCTGCAGTTGGGATGTGCATCACTTTGATTTGATTGAGAACCTTTTCCTTCCACACCCAAGCAGCCAAACCACACCAACAAGTATGTCAAGTATGGTGTCCAAAGGGTGCCTCGATGCCCGTCGTTTGACGGTGTTTTGAACTCTTTTGGCCGTGAGCAGATTGGCTGCAATTAGGATGTTATGTCCTTTTTTGGGGAAGGAAAACAACATTGAAAACAACACAGACTTGTCAGGCACCAAATCAGTTGGCCTTTCAACAAGGTCATTTCAATATATATATATATAATATCTTCCACCTATCAAAACATCATATCAAAACAACACACCTCCCCCTGTCCCTAATAAAACACTCGGCATCTTTCTTTAGGTCAATAGGGCCCGCGAAGATGGAACACCGTTTGGAAGAGCTTCCGAACAGTCGCCGCTTGGAACATGATATAGAACTTCCTAGTAAAGTCGTAAACTGAAATCACCTCGAGATCGAAAGGTCTTCCTTTACACAACCCTTTCTTAAAATAGTGATTCTTCGATATTCTTCGCTTGCAAACTCCTCATTGTACTAACAACTGAACATGTCCAAAGATGATGTCGCTGTGCTACGCGGTTTGCAAGGCCTCAGTGGAAAGGCGTTTGCGTGGCTTCGTGCCATCATGGAAGGGTGCACATGCGTGTGTTTAATGCAAACAACAAAAACATAAACGACCTGAATAGGAATTCAAGAAGGCAGTGATGTTTAAACACATATATAGCGGTAATTGCGGGGAGACCCCACATGCATTTGTCAAATCGGGTAGTGGTTTTGATAGGCCGGTACTTGGCACTGTTTTTCATGTATATAATTTCCGCGGTTGTGTTTCCATTCAGGACATGTCTTGAGCAAAAAGCTGCTCACTCCGAAACCACTTCAAGGGCGGTTGCCCGATGCTATCAGTTTCGATCTAATTACTTTTGATACCTCCCAAACATTGCACCCTCCCACGCCCGGAGACAGGATTTTGGTTCATGCGTCCATCAGCGTTCTGGTCGAAGGTCAAGCACCTTCCAGTCTTCGAAAGCCAACCTGCAACAGAAAGGAATTTCCAACAGTCGCAGTCGCGCTCCGTCGAGCTGTTCCTAAAGGAATTCTATAATTGTTGAACGCAGCACACGGATTTTGCTGAATCACAAAACCTCCTGCCGATGGAAGACGGTGGTCGGATGCTTGATGGAAACCCCAAGCCTGTCGAGATTTCAAGTGCAGGGACTGAAGAACAGTTCAAACAAACAACCTTAGGAACAAGAAGCTACTGGTAACAAGGTGCATCGCTACGACTAGTAGCAAGGACGCTACTAGTGGCTCCTGGCCTTACTGCTAGGAACAAGAAGCTTGAACACCACTGGCTGGAAGACGCGCCGGCGTCAGTCCCCAGTGCGGAGTAAAATGTTCTCTTGTAAGGATGACAAGCACCATAGGCCAAACCAAGGCAACCTTATAAACGGGACCTCAAACTTATCAGCAAATGGATCAAGTCCTTGCTTGCTGGAATTCGTGCGATAGGTGTTCAGCGGCTTCTTAGGCTCAAAAACACAGATTCTTGGGGTGTTTGAGGATCCTTCTGGCTTTCGTTTGTGTGGCTAACAAACGTTACAACTCGCACCCAGTGGTCACCCAAACCAAGCAAAGCCAAGTTCGAACCATGATCCCACTGCAGCTTCGTCGAACGACCAGCGGGCTGAACAGCCAATAACGGAGTTGTTGTTCTCGAGAATCACTACTCCTACCCCTGGAAGACTAATATGGAACCTGAAAACCCCTGGTTGGTAGAGGAAAATAGTCTTCCATGGGACCATTGTCAGGGTCTATGTGAGTTTTCGGGAGTGTATATAGCTTTGAGGATCCTTCTGGCTTCAAAAGAAACCGATGCAAATTGACGACCCACCCATCCCACCCGGCTCCCCTCACGAAACACATGTGAACCTGCACATCTGGCCGACTGCAAATATTGCCTTGCCTGCCGCCTGGCGTTGAGGCCAATAGAAGAAGGCCAAGTTCAACCTGGAAAGCACGCAGCGGAACTCAAATTGATGAGTGTGAAAACCCGGCTGAAAAAATGGTGCTTGCAGCCTGCAATACCCTAGGGCTCCAAGTAAGTACCTCATCAGAAGGTAAGACTGGACCCTTTAGACCAACCCCAAACACCTTCTCACCATCCAACGATCTGGTGAAGCTGAAGCTGTCTTGACCGGAGTTCCAATGCTCACAAACATAGAAATAAACAAACATAGACAAACATCATATCAACCATTATCAACCACTCACTTCAGACCTGTTCCTCCTTCTCAACGTTTTCAACCTCTTCCTTCGTAGAGATCCAAGAGAGGTCTTTTTGAGACCTGAACTGGGACCCGATATGATGGGTGGTACACATATGATCGGCTCAAGGATGCTCATGAGATCATCTTTGCCAAATTACATAGGGGGCCGGGAACAGTAAAAACGATGTCCACCATTCCAAGGAAGAAGGATTGCTAAGGAAATGCTAGTGGTCAAACCCTCTCATTGGGGAGGTTTTCCGAGAAAAACATCCCTTGACCCTAAAGATCCGGACCTCATCAACATGCAGGCTGTCTTGAAGGGCCCCCAACAGCCTGTTGAAAAAGGAGGTGAACTCGACCCCTCTTTGCAGTCTTTGCAGAGGTCGGGTCCGTTCGGACCCTTAGGGGATTACTGTATCAAATCTCCTTAGGCACCTCGACCTGGAACGGCTAAACATGACGAGCCGTTCTTTCCGTCGGTTGGTGGGGTCGAATGGCGCCCGAACTCTAAGTGAACAAAAATCGTTGCTTACTATAGCATGGTGCATGTTATGAATGTTTTTAACAAAATCATGTTGTGAGCTTCATCGAAAAGGTAGACCTTTGTGGAGTGACATTAATATGTTCACGCCCTGCACTCCTGGAAGTCTTTCAACATGGATGTCCGTGTTCGGTGCTTTACGCGTGAAAAACCACCGCTCGACCCGTCGGTTCTACTGGCCGGTTCTAGTCGTGCCAAGGGGCTTGATGCCACCACACAGGGAAAATTCATTCGCCGTGGAACGGCCTTTGCTGTGCAGTGCTTCGCCTTGGACCGGTGGAAAAGTCCCAGGATGGTGTAGGCGTTGTGCGGACGGGCGACGAAGCAACCCTGGGTGGAGGCTGTCTGGTGGTCCCCCTAGAAAACGACCTGCATTGATTGCATCATGTAATTTCAAAAATTCATGGGTGTTTTCTACCTTGTTTATTGCAAACGGCTCTATGTATTTGTCAGTGACATCATCATACTGTGGTTGCGCAGCAATATGTGTTGTTGAACGGTGTTTATATATATATATATATGTGTGTTTTTTTGTTTTACTTATCTGTTGTCCACATAGTATACAACATATGTGTGCGTTTGTTGCAAAACGAAAATATGGGTTTTGTTCAAAACAACTCTTTCTGTACAATATCAATGCAACGATTTGATGAAGTCTTGTGGCCAAAAAACAAAAATACACACCAAGGGACAGCACCAACGCGCCCCCTTGTAATTCCAAGTCGAATGCCTATAACTTGGACGGCGCAGCGTCTAGAAGTTGTACTTCCAAACCATGTTCCCTACCGTGGGCTTCCAGGAATTGGCCAGCATGGGAAAACCAGACAGCACGGTGTCCAGAAAATTCAATTTCCAAGCACATGTCTACTTCTGTGTGTATGAGTTCCTCCAGGCTGTAGTCGCCTGCAACAACGAGGTGCTCACTGCTGCCCAGCGGCTGGGTTTGATTAGGGGGAGTGCCCTCGGCGCCCTCCGGGAGCTTCGCTCCTTCTGCAACCGGTGCAACCTCCACCTCCGTGGTGTCACAGGATACCCTCTGTAGTCTGGAGCTCCCGCCTGTTCCAAGTAAAAGCATTGCTTGCACGCTTTGTGGTACAAGGCTTTGTCAGGCACCTCTTCGCCCAACACTTCAAAGTTCCCATAGTGAAGTCCCGGCTGACGAAAACACTCGCCAACTTTGGCCTTCTACCAGGTCTTCGCGTGGTTCCGCAGGGTATTGGGCCTGCGACCCTTTGCAACTTTAATCATCAATGCCTCATCACTTGCCCTCAGCGCTACAGGCAGCCTCGCAGCCTTCACTATCTCCCAGAGCTCGTTGACCCAGCGCTCCCTTTCCTCTCAGTTAATCCCGATGAGGTCCAGCTTCTTGCTCAACCTCGTAGGCCAGCATGCCACTTTCGCCCTTCCACCAGATCCTCAAACATGCTTTGACGGACCTGCCTCTGGTGCGCTATGTGCACGTCCATGAGCTCCTGCGATCCACGTGTGGCACTCCACTGCAGTATCTATTCTCAACTCTGTCATGGGCTCGCACTCTGTCATGGGCTCGCTTGACAAGCTCCTTAAGCGCACTCGTCTGCACATCGAAATCCTCGTCCTTTTCCTGCACCTTCCACTTCCAGCAGTTCATGAGGACCGTTGCGCAGGGTGGCCAACCTGGTGATATTCCATCCTGCAACTTCCATGGCCTTGGTTTCACCCAGAAGTGCACCCATCCTCAAGTTAAATTCATGGTAACCAGCTGTCAGTTCATGGCAAACAGCTGTCAAGATGTCAAGTGATATCCTCAGGACACTGCAGAGAGTTTTGTTAAGTGGAGCTCTGCAGGCCTGCTCCACTCCCCTGCTCAAACGGTGGGAACCCCCTAGAAGCTGCGAGCGTATATCAGATTTTGGCATCTGCAACTCGCAAGCGGATAGCCGTAACTCGGAAGTTCCGACGACACGAGCACAAAAGCGGATAAACATAACGCGGAAGTTCTAGCACACACATGTACCAGAAGTTGATAGCAACTCGGAAGCTCGAACACAAATCCACAACTCAGAAGTCGATGGCCGCAACTCATAATGTCACATCGTTTTTAAAATCATGTCCCTAACTGGGGTAAAGTAGTTTTTGTGTAGTCTTTGGTTTGCATGCAGGAAAAGGTGATTTAGGGGGGTCAGCAGTGGAAAGGCAATAACAAAACGTTTCAAAGGTGGAACATGGTGGAACTTTGCACATACACACACACACAAGGTTCCTACCAGATTACTTGCAAACATTGTTTCTCGCAACTCTGCAGCTCTGCTTTTCTCTTTGACTCGAAACTGTTTGCCCTTCATGCGCATTCCCCTGCGCTTGTCATGTAGAATGATGTTTTCACATCACCATTGCACATCACAGCTGGACACCATTGCGTCCAGCCAAAATGTTTGCACGCTCTGTGCTGGTCATCCACTCTTTATGAGCATCCGACAAAGATCCGCCCTGGTTCACAAAGTTACGTACCTGAACAAAGAGCACGGAACAGGGGATAGTACGTAGCTTGCATTGAACCATTAAACATCCACAACCCTGGAAAAATGCAAGTTTCATTGATCATCCTAAGTGTTGCCACACTCCTGCATGTTCATTTTTTTGCTTTTTGGCAGCCTCAGATACGGTTGGCAAAAACATCGAATCAACAAAATACAACAAACATACAAAATGCGTGTTTCCTCTCAGAAACATTGTTGTTTTCATGTTCTTTGTGCCAACGTCTGGATGTCTCCCTCTTGCGTTGGGCTCGCTCTTCCATAATCTTGGCCTTTGTGTTCGGGGTGGTGTCTGGGGTATAATCCGTTGTGAAGACCAAGACGACCCCGTTTCCTGCATGTTTACGATCACCGACAAAGCAGTAATATAAAACACTATACATATATCTCCAACACATGTTTAACAATCATCATCCAAAATGATGTCCTCATCAGCGTGAGCATCTGGACCAATTGGGCCCTTTGCATCCTCATGGCGTCGCATTCGTTGCGGAACTTTGTCACCAGGAGAATCATGATTGGGTTTCTCCTTCTGAGATTCAGCTTCGGGTTCCTTGGCAAGATCAATCGATGAAGCAGGTTCTCCAGAAGAAAGGTCCTGGCATTTCTCCATCTTCTGGTCAGCCTTAAAAACATGTTGGAACAGCCTGTCTCTGATACAAACGTAAACAAATCAAAGAACATCATCAGATATTGCATATCTCAACAGTGAAAGAAACAGCGCTCGCAATCAGAGAGTTGTCCAGGGTCTTGTCTTTGTCGCCCAAAAGATCAGGAGGAGAGTCAAACTGCATAGGATCCGGGTAGTCGTCACAGAACAACTTCCTGCTCTCATCATTGGGCGGTGTGCATCCATGGCCTCGCCCATGCATAGTGTAATCCCACTGGCTGTCCTGGTCATGTTCAAAGAAAGGGTACGGCTGCTTTGCTCCCTCGAAGTCCATGTCGTCAAATGTCAGGGCCCTGGCCAAAGGCCTGGCAACTGGAACCGTTTCCACAGGCATAGCCATGGTCTTCGCCTTGGGCATTTTGTCGGCTTACTGTTCAAGTCTTAAAATTGGGATAGCAATAGCAATCTAACACTATTTGTGGAAATGTGCAAGCTGCGTTTTGTTTTGCAGGCTCAGTCACCAAAGCTTCCGGTTTGGTCATACACTTCATCACACTCGAACTGGGCTGAAAGGCAAGAAATGCATCTGGCGCAGAATTGTTTCCTGAAGATGAAGCATCTGCTGGCCTTTTCCACATTGAAGTAGCGCCCGAGGATGTGTTTGACTGAGTAGATGATGTCGGCGTAGCGCGAAGACGATACTGGGGCTCAAAGCTCATCAAAGACACTGAAGCACCCACATGTTTGTCAACGACCTTCTGGTTGGCAACAGTGACATCGTCCGACTCCAAGTCCACTAGATTCGCCATCGTCCACAAAACTTCACAAGGCAAGAACTTCAGAAAGCAAGTGTTAGCGTGCTTGAGGAAAAATGACGCCACATTGCCGTGGGGTTTTATGATAGTTTTGTGCAATCCTCGGTTCATATTTGACATGTTTTGACATTCTCAAGGCTTTGAACTGACAGACGCACTTTTGCATCTCGTTTGACAGTCACTTGGGTCGCAAAATCAGAATGCGGTGGTGAACCTGCTATGTTGCTAGTTCATCTCAAAACCCATTCAAGGCCCCCCTCACTCACCAGCAGGCTATGCCATCTCATAGTACGTCTTCGCGTCCATTTGCATATCAGCCTTGAGGAACCAGAGCGGCTTCGCTGGTCCAATGGTTTTCTCCCGAATGTAGTGACGCATACCTCATGTTGAAAAGAGCTTCGAAGCAGAATCCCAAAGTTCAAAAAGTTGAGTATTAAAAAATACCACAAGCATTTCAGCAACAAAATGAAAAAACTCAATCCCAGACCATCCCGAGGCTCGCCAAACTAGGCACAGGTAGGAGGAGGCCTCAAGCCGGGTCATCCCCACGTAGCCAGCGATGTTTGAGCCCTTCAATTGCTTCTGGTTCACGTTGTTCGGTTTGAACACTGAGTGAGAAGTATGAGAGACAGTGAACGTGTCTCGCTGCTCTCCACGTGCCACAGCTGGTGGTCGCTGATAGGAATGCCCAGTCAAAGTCTGGTCCAAGTGGCCCCGCTTCTCCAAAGAAATAAGGAGCTCATACAAAGAGAATGGACCTGTGTCCACAAGGCCCTGGGGGCTTTGCTCTTCGAAGACAACCTAAGCTGATGAAGGAAACTGACAAGCAGCCCCAACCATTCCAAAACTAGCATCATTGCAACTCAGAAGCTGGATCATCGCAGGAACTCAGGCGGAATTCCACTGCCTTGCCCTTGTTGGCATCCTTGCTCAGGAAATCACGTGCCTGCAAGGGAATACAACAACCATATATAACTATACATATATATACACATATGCCTTTTCACAAAACTACATATGTTTGAACACCAGTCCTTGCTGTCCTCTGAAATCCAGCTACCTCCTGCGTAGAGGAGGACTGGTTTTGCATTTGGGGTGGATGCACCCAAAAGCTTCATCTTCGTGGCAGTGCTGAAATACAACTTGTTGTCCACCAGGGTGGCTGTCAGGTTGCATCCACCCACATTGATCGTGACATTTGTGGATGCCGAACTGGAATACTTCTGCTTGAATGCTTCCTCTGTCAAAGATGGAGGCTCCATGAGCTGCGGCCCCACAGGATCCGGATTCGCAACTCCCAAATCTCGCTCAGCGTCTTCTGGTTGC